CTACTTAAATGAAGCAAGACTTTATACGATTTGTTTTGCAAGTTTAAGGAGCCCGTGCATAAAAAATATGCACGTTTCAGAAAATGCAGACGTAATTTTCTTCCCTTTATCCCAATGGGCCACGGGAGAGAGGAGAGGCTACTCCTTGTGCGTACCACACCCACTGCCCTTAAAGGCACTAATGCAGCTGCAGCTCTCGGTGGTTGTTACAGATTTGTTATGCATCAGTCCGATTCCTAAACCCCATACAAGTGTGCAAATAATATGATCACAATGAAGGCTGAAATGTAGAACAGAAACAGCCATGATGTGACATCCTGTTACTAGCACCATTATGGCTTCAGTCTGTCCTTAAAGCATACAAATCCAGTAGACGATGGCTCTGAAATGAATCCATTGTGACATAACCAACATTAGGTGTTGCTTGACAAGTTTGTTCCCATAGCTGTCAAAAGCAGCCACATTTGACCTCAGTACAGAAGGGCTGAACAGCTTGCAAAGATAAATCCCCTCTTCCTCCCCAGTACTTTATAGCTGCTAGATTACAGTAGCCATGTAAACCAATTAGCTGTCAGACTGACAAATCCTTTTTAGCCTTCTAAAGTTGGGGCCCCAAACAGGCCAGCCAGTTACAAGTGACTATACTGGTCATATACTAAGCATATTATAATTAACCAAATGTCACGTTATTGGAAAAGCTGGTGCAGAAATTACCCCAGCAACCACCAGATTAAGTGGCCTAAATAATTAATACAGTCAATGAGGTGGGACCGACAAGAATCTTTCTGAACAAAAGGAAAAACAAAAATAAATGGTGGGGGCAGTCACAACCGGTTTACTAACAGTACTACAGGGTGCAGTGAAATAAAATGTGATTACATACAGTATGGTTAACAAGGGAGCTGAATGATAATGGAAAGACCACAGACTTAAAATTAAATGATGTGCAAAATGAAAATGTCTGTCCCCCCCACAGATGATTGTTGAGCAGCTGGAGCATGAGAGAAACATGATGGCTGACACAATGGAACAAAAGATGAGAGAACATCAACGCCTTCTCCAAGTGAAGACGAATCTGGGCGTGGAGGTGGCTGCCTACAGGTAACGAACTTATTCATTTTGTCAGTTGTCCAGTCAAAACTGTTTCTTAAATCATCACTGAGTAGAACAGGCCCTGTTCACAGCAGACAGTTTGACACTGTAGTAGCAAAAGCACAGGTGTTACAGTATGTACAAGTTTCAAACAGTACATCTTCCCTTTCCAGTAACATCCCCACTGCATGACATTACATTTAGCTTAATTAGTGATTTCATCAAACTCATGGGAAGGAATCATTTGCTTCCTTCCTGCTGCTCTTGGCTTTTTTTTTGCTCTAATCGGAACACCATTCTCAGTTAGATAAATGGAAAAGTAAAGTACTGTATTATCTTTGTGATTTAAGTGTCTATGAAGCAAAACAAATGTTTCATGTCCCGTAATAACCTGGCATGTCTGGTTTTCATGCTCCTATCATAGCCAGATTACATATGGTCACATACTACATGACTGAATGTTACATGCACTTAAAAAAAAACAAAAAAAAAAACATAGCCTCTTACCTCATATCCCAGGACATCTCGAGAGTTGTTAAATGACACCAAACTTTTGTTAGTATTATCTGGAAGGTCTTTAGAGGACCTTCTGTGTTTATTTGGCAAATTTGCCAATGGTACATGGTTTGTTGAGAATTGTAGGAATAGACAGCATGTTTGCTCAGACACGTGGCAGTAGCATGTCGTTCTATGTGTGGCATGAGTCAGCTTCTGTTTTGGGATTCATAAGGGACTGTGGACACCCCTGCAGTGCAGCTGTTATTTTTAGGTCAGTCTTTCTGAAGGCACTCTCTGGAGAGGTTGTTCCTTTCTGATGGATTTGGTTTCTTTTGTATATTTACTGAAGCATGGCCAAGGAGAGGTGAGCCAATTACTACAGGGTCTATGTTATATGACAGTGGCTTGTTGTGTTTTTCATCATTACTACCCTATATGGCCAGGCCCCAGGTTCATACCATCATGTAAACCTGTTGCTTTTACTTTTAGGAGGTTTGTGAGGTATTTGTCTTATGTTTTTGGCAATGCTGTTAAAATAGGGGACTAACCCATGATTTACAATGGTTTCTACTCTTTTTCATCAAAAGTACATCTCAACTCTGGTTTGTTTAGGGCTCTCTTGGAAGGTGAAAGAGTGGACCTGGAAGATGGTCTTAAGAGGATGGATCACCATCAAAGAGAAAGAATAATAGGTACTGTATTGTACAGTATTACATTTATTCTTGTTGATACATTGATCACCAGAGAACATTGTAAGCCTAGATCTAGGTATCTACCTTTATAAAGGAGAACGTGCTCAGATAGTAAGCAACATTAAACAGTTAATTTATAGTATTGTGAGACCTGACCAAATAAAAAATGTCAATGCATTAATTAATGATTTATGCTAATTAATTATCTGCCTCAGATATCAAGATTCCTGCCCAACCCTACACGCCAAGAGCTTCCTCCTTAACCACCAGACAACAAATGGATATTCGGTACACACCACCATCTTCAAGCCTGAGAAGAGCCACTGTGCCAGTAAGTCCCTCTAGGGTCATTCCTATTGCAGTCGCAGGCAGAGCTCTGCATCAGAGTCCTGCAGCCAGAAGGGACATGATCTCATTCGCCCAAACCCGGGCTACCACAACTACCACCGCTACTACTAAAGATAAACAAACAGGCCAAAGTGCAAACCAAATGAGTCAGGGTAGGCAGAAATCAAAATCAGAGGAGAGAATTGTGAAAATCAAACAGGTCTCTCAGCTGGAGAACCAAATAAGTCCCATCAAGGACTCCACTGCCAGGACCAATTCAATAAGAGTGGTCTCACCGCCAGTGATGGACCTCAACACAAAAACTGAGACGGAAAGCAAAAAGAAAGTGTCAGAGGAAAAAGAGGCAGATAATGTTTATGACAGCAAATTCAAAGACAACAACAGAGATTCTATGACAGGGCCAAGTGAGAACGTTTTAGATTCTGTGTCTGTAGAGGAGATCATTGAGAAAGTGATAAAACCAGCAGGTTTAGAAGCTAAGGCTTCCTCATCAGGAGAATCAACGGTGACATATCATGTGGAGAAAACTGAGCAGAAGGATGGCACGACCAAGACACAGATCGTACTGGAGTCCAAGGTGGAAGAAAAGCTGGATGTTTCTGAGGACTCTGCCCTAGATGAACTACTGAACCAAGGTGTGAAGAAGGTAACACTGGAGGACATCAAGGACACAGCAACAGAAAGCATGATCAAAAATCTGTTAAGTGGCCTGCAGGGAGGGGAGAACTTGCAGAACAAGTCTGTGAACATAGAAATCATTGAGGAACCAGTGGAGTCCCACAGTGATGTAGTGCACAAGGTTGAAGAGAACTCTAGGTCTAGATTTTATGAGCCCTCAACAACATATTTCCAGATTGAGGAGCTAGAAAATGCCCCTCATGAAACTCAAGTTCAGAGAAGTGATGAAGATGCTATGGAAATGTCCATAACCGACACAGACCATTCCAAGGGTGAATCTGTTCATGTTGAAGATATCTCTAAAGAAAGTGAATCTTCATATTTCTCCCATGACCAAGAGCCTCATGAGTATTTTGTCTCCACACCAGATGATAATCTTTCTGAACCTGAGGAGGGTGGCGGCATTACCTCATGTGGGCATTATGGCATAGTGGATGACCTGTCAGATGAGAGGTATTATCAAGATAGTCTTCCACCACAAAGAATGACTGTAGAGAAAAGTGACAAACACGAGTTCATGTCAGGTGATCACCCGTTTGTCAAAGAAAGTTTCCCAGAATGCATCATCGAAGAGGAGGTTTGTGTCTCCCCTGTAGTGCAGGAGTCAGTTCTTGAATTTCTGAGGGAGGACTTGCTGGAGCCCAAAGAGCAGCTAAAGGGAGCTCTGGAGACACTACAAAGCTCGGTGTCAGGTCCGCTGAGGGAGGAGTTGGCTTTCCTCACAAAAGTGAGTAATGAATGTCCACAGAACGTGGCTGTCAATGTCAAAAAAGTGCAACAGTCCAGTGACAATGGAACCATGACCATTGTTGCAGAACTGAATGTCACTCAAACCCTGGAGCACTCTGGGCTGCTTGAGGCAGGGGATGACCTGTCCGAAGAGCAGATCATGTCAGCTCTCAGATCTTCTAACCTAGGGCTTGAGAAAGATTTCCCAGGTGGGGCAGGAGGAGGGTACAGCATCCGAGTCTCCAAAGATGAGGATGTCGTACACGGTGAAGAGTTTGAAGACTTAACTAATGTTGCGAAGTCTGTGTCTGAAATCACTGAGAAACATACCAAACTGGGTCCATCAGAACAGTCCTTCACCTTCCAGATGAACGTACAGGGCAGCTACACTGACGTGACCTCAGAGCAAGAGCTGCAATCTCAAGTCTTAGAAACCCCAGTCAAGATGTCTCAAGAGAAAAGAGTTGCAACACTTTATCTTGAAAGCCCTACAGATGACTAAACGAATTCAGTCAGAAATATTTTTCAACTCAATACTTGCCAATGTATTACTTTTTGAAGTGCACATATAGAGGTTAGTTGGATGCAGCAGTCTAATGGCATTAATGCCGACTGCATTAATAATGCCTTAATTTTTGCAACATTCTATATCCAATTGATTTTGGTGTGCTCTTTTACCATACCTACTTAGCATGCTATCTAAAATTCAGTTCAACTAACTGCACCTTGTGAGTCAAGCAGAATTCAGTTTAGTAAAAATTACCAGATTAATATACATTTCTCATTTTCAATTTGGCAGTTCTATTAAAAATATTCAATGCTAACTAATATGGATGAGGATTCTAACATTTATATATTACTCATTTATGGTAGTAAATACTAATGAGTGCTGTACTGTATGCGTTAATCTTTTTACAGGTTGCCGTTTATTTTCCAACAGGACTGCTTATGCTGAATAGATTTCTCTATTTTTGTATTAACCTGTGCTGTACAGTTGAAAAGCCTGTTCTGCAGTTTCCAGCATGCCATCAACCCAACCATCACATCATTGCTGTGTATGCTATAATGTTGAGTCTCTCTGGTACCAGCATTTAATACAGACCAACATATGACAGTTGGAGTTGAGAGGTGCTGTGCACTCTTTGCAGACGGACATTTTTCCTTTTGTCTTGACCACTGCTGCCAAAGGAAATGAAACAGTTTATTTTAGTCACTTATGTGTACAGAATATATTTGAGTGTGTATCTGAGGGCAGTCTATTGGGAATGTAGAAATGAAAAGTTTTTAGAAATTTAGCAAGTTTTGAAAGTGTACTGCAAGTAAATATGGCACTTAAGTGATTAACTGCCAAAGTATTATCAGAATATTTAACTTTACAACTAATGGCATATTACACATTTAGAAAAATCTGAAAATAAGAACTGACCATTATTTAACCAAATCTGGGTTACAGTGTTCTCATTATGAAACATGTTTGTAAAAAGATTTAACTTTAGGTATCAGTACCGTATCGGTATCATTTCCAAACAGGCAACATTTAGCTCTGATAATGAGACGGTGAATTATACCATTTATAACTCCAACAAAGGGCTGTCAATTTGAAAAGCAAACAGCAAGATGAAATAAAAAGATACTAAAATATTAAGGAATTCAAAGGATGCAGCAACAGCAACTGTTAACGGAAAATGCTGTAAAATCGTGTCTGGTTTTGATGCATGTCTGGTCTGAGCACCTTTTGCATGTCCACATCAGTAATCACAGTGTTGGCTTGAAGGATTCACTTTTGACACCTGTGCTCTGACTTACAGTAAGAATGTGTTCATGACCGTGATTATTTTTGGATCATCTGCTTAGCGGCACTGAGTGCTCACTAGGGTTTGTTGTGTTGTGTAATAGTTGCAGAGGCAGAAATAGTTCACTATGATGACTGCCTGGATACCTGTTTTACAAAATGAGCAGTGTCCTCACAGACCGAATTTCCGGCACTATCATGTTAAAACTTGCTTTTATAAATCTGTTGTTAGAAATCTACAAAATGAAACATTTGTTGAATTTAATGGTGCAGACAGCCAATTTATATACATTTTCTCATCTGCAACCTGCATTCAATTAAACAATGCACTATTACATAAGTACAGTTTGTGGTTTAATAAGTAATCTGTTAAATTACTGCATACAGATTGTATGTACACCCTGTAATCTGGATACTATGCGCCATTTCATATCAAACTAGCTGTGTACATCAGTGTACAGAAAATCTATTGCTATATATAGAATGTTTAATGAGCGTGCGTTCAGTGTTTGTCACCACAGATGGCCCAAAAACATTGTTTTTATTGAGATAATTACTTCAATTGAACAATTATTTCTTTGGCTGAAATTGGTTCTAACCCTTTTTTGGAAATGGATTCACATCTTAACACAATTAAAACCTGTTATGGGTATGTTTTTTGAGTGCAACTTTTTTCCTTAATTTAATGTGAGTGATACAACATCATGTACTGCCAGTGAACACGACTGCAGTAATGCAAGCTAATTGTTAGTTGTAGCTCAGTGTATATAAACAGACATATTTTATGAAAAAAAAAAATGCACTGGTTCTTAATCCAAACATTCAAAAGTTTTTGTAGACAAAAAAGACTTCAGTCAGACAGAATTTCCATCATTGCCACTTGATGATACAACTGCAAATGTGTGAGATTTTGTTTTTCTTCTACCTTGCCTCTGTAACCTCTCAGCCACTTCTGGTGCCCTGTAAAACATACATTACTTGATCTTAACTGAAAGATGGGCTGTATTCTTACACAGTATTTTTCATCAAAATTCATTACCAACAAAAGTCAATTGGCAATTTATCATCACATCTTAGTATACAGCTTATTTACTGGCAAATGTAACAGATTTACCGAGCCAACATGTCCACTGCTTTTTGTGTAACCCTTGCCTTCTTGTGCTGAGGACCATACAACAAACTTTGGATCTCCAGACACTAAAATTAAAAATAAAATATAAAGAAAAAATAATAATTAGTGACAGCAGAATGACAGATAAGTTATCACTCTCATACTCAGAGGGGAATAACATTAACACTAAGTGAATGCACTACCATCCCAAAATAACCACTGCAGCAGCTCAAGATTTAGATATCACCTGTGCTGACTGCTCAGTGTTAAGTGGGATCTTTTCAAAAGGGCCCCAAACCAGTAACCCATCAACAAATGTAAGATGCAGACTGACTCATTTTGAACTCGACATATACTGCAGTTTGGTCCAGTCAAATGCGATGAATGTGCAATGACTTCTTAGATATATAACATTGAAGTCGAAACTTTACAACAATTACAAACATGTATACAATTGCACAGTGCACACAAACATGAAAAAGGCCATCTGCCCTTTCTC